GTTAAAAATTTACCTAATTGTTAGAAATTTCGTATAAAAATATGCGCCGCATTTTTTTAATGCAATGCATAAAAGCATGCAATGTTCACGGCCTTGATGAAATTATCAACAACATTATGTCAGATAAAACCAAAAATTCCCTTATCACTAAGCTTTTTATCAGTTCAGGAAATTAGCAGCGAGTTGAAAACAATTTTTATACGTTTTAAGGCATTATTTTTTTTCACAAAATATACAGATAACATAAAAAGACAATATATTTTCATAAAATGTTACACATTTTAAAAAAAACTTGAACTTTTTGGGACAAACACGTGTTTTTTCATCGCAAAAAAAAAATTGATCCTTATCGTAAAAAGTGTCTGTTAATTCAAAGTTTTTTGCTATGAAACGTGACCTTTACATTTTCGGATCTCACGGCCAGAATTTTGATTTTTTTTTAATAATTTGAATACGACATTTCCTGCAATAAAAAAGCTACCGAGTTCATTGTTTTGAAAAAACATTGGCATTATAATATCTTTCGTATAGTAATAATCATTTTTCTCTCTATCTCATTTTTTTTAAGTAAACAACAAATATAAAATAGAACAATGTTAGCTTTGGAAACCCAGCGTTATGTTTGATTGTTGTTGCATTAATTGTATTGAAAAATTTACCTCTAGGATATCCTGTTAGAAACATGTTTGTAATGTAGCAGGAAACTAAATACATGGACGTTTGATAGAATTTAATTATATTAACTTTATGATAACATATAATATATTTACGCCTTAAAATCTTGAGCATTCTTTTTTTAATATAATTTTTTTGTCTAAAATAGCATTTGCATTCGAGAATACTATCTTCGTAAAACAGAAATTTTGAATAATGTTAACACTGGTCATTGGTAAAAATATTTAGAAAATTAAATAACTGTTTGTTGTAAATAAATATTATAATATGAAATTACTTTTCAATACGTGACTGACCTATTGCTAGTCGATATTGATGATATGCACATAAATACATCACAATGCAAACTTTGTTCTACATTTGATTGAGATATTCTATGGTAAAATTCAAAGCGAACTGTATAACGGTATCGAATCACTGTTATCCTTTTTGCATTCATACGTAATACATTTATTTGATTCGTGTCATAGAGCGTCGGTGGCCCAGGGGTTTAAGCACTTGACTTGCCATGTACTAATGTGTTTTTTGATTTACATACGTACATTTATCCGACGTTCTTACGGCGAAGGAAAACATCGTAATGCAACCTGCACATATCTGGGAAGAAAATTCAAAGATATGTGTGAAGTCAACCAACCCGCACTGGGCCAGCGTGGTTGACTATGGCCTAGTCAACCGTGACTTAGGGTAGGCTCCGAGCCCCTCGGTGGAGACGTATAGCGAGCTGATTATAATGTGTCATAGATGTTATTGTGGGCTCTACCACTGTTTTTTTAGTCGCTACGTTCAAGCAATGATTATGGTTTTTGGTACAAGAAACTTTTATTGCGTTGGTGTGCTCCAATAAACTTTGGAGGAACTAATATGGACCGTGATTCAATGTTGTATTTGGAAAAATCATCTAAATTTTTCCAGAAATTATTAAATGCCACACTCGAGTCGATAAATTGGCACTAAGAAACTACCCAAGTGTAGACTCTGTACGTGTCTGTACGTGTAGACTCTCACGGGCCAAAATCACAATAGTATTGTTTAAGTAATCATTACTTGACTCTGAGTATGACAGTGTAGATTCAAGTTAAATGATCAGTTCATTGCTATGTACGGTCGACAAATATTTGCATATTGAACTTGTATTGTAAAGAATTGCGCAGTTAAATGTCGTAACGGAAGTAGGGAACGAGTTATGAAAAAATTGTCACTATTTTATATCAAAACGTTACTTCGTAAGGCCAATGCCTTCATAATACTGAATACATAATATCAAGGTCAGGGTAAAAATATTTCTCAAAAAAATGAAACTTAATTGCATTTATTTCCATTAATTTGTTGAATTTTCGCCATTTTATAATACATAATTCGATTTTATTATTATTTGTTTTCACACTATTTTGTGTGTCCGAGTTATATGATAGCTTACTTTTTACCATGTGGTCAAGAAGGAAGGAAAACTAGAAACTAGAAATAATGCCTGTAGCAAAAATTCGTACCTATGTCGTACTTTGTATTACCTTTCCGGGTACATAGGTGCACTGTGTACTTTTGCATTTGTAATTTAATTATATTAAACTTATGCAAGAAGGTAAGAAGTAATTTGCGTTTTATCCTTGAATTTCTATTCATTCTATTACACCTGCATCCATAATTTATTTCAAAAATATATAAATCGCCATAATTATATGGCTGATGACCGCATGCGCATGGTATCAACTTTTAAAACAGTTCCTATTCTTTTAAGAGTTCCAAAATAGATATTTTTCTTCTCTACGTTTTGTACGACATAAAAATTACTTTTAGTTCCGTCACGATATTTTCTGACGTAGCCAGACCAAAATTTAATCAAGAAGTTAAATATAGATAAAAAAACAAGAGATTTTTATCACGAAGTAAGGCGGGACGATCGCGTCACAGATTCCTACGCGGTACGCGCACAGCGGTCAGCGCACGCGCATTGCTCGTATTGTTACGTATATGCCACCGGTAAATTGTGAATACTTGTCAAATTGCATATCGAACGTAGTAATTCAGAAAATTACGTTATATCTATTGTAGGTAGTTACTGTGAGTTGTTAAGACCAAAATGTTGGTCTCAGAAACCCAGACACGAGACTTAGTTGAGGTTTTCTTTCGCTTTAATTTCTGTGCTATCAATAGAGTGGCGCGTAGGCTGTCGAGCACAAATTTCAGTGCCAATTTTTCACGTTATTGAAAAAAACATTGTTGTTTTGTGATTGAATTCATTCGATATGCAGTTTGCCGGATCCAAACTACAATCGTAGATAAATTAAGAGCGTGCGAGGTTCACGACTTACCTGTGGCATAAACATATATGTTCTCACTATTGTTACGTAGGCGTCTCTTGGAACTTTTCCAATGGTATCGCCTCGCTCAAACACGATACGAACTACGGTGAATAATTCACCAATAACTCGCCGTTTTGGTAACATCATTCACACGTTCTTATCGTTCATTCATTTTGATTTTACTATTTAACGCTTTTAGCATGTCTATAGTCAATGTCGATTGAGTTCTACAAACAAGATAAAATTTATGCTCTTGGTCGTTTCTGTTTTAAAATATTTTTAACTTCACAGGTAAATTTTTACTTCTAGAAGTATTCTAATAATTTAAGTTTTCTGACGTAGGCGTCGTCCCTATTGATCATGCACATTAAAAATAAATTAGCGAGAAATACCAATAATAATAGTTTCAAGATTTTCCACACAATAGCTAGGAACTTGATTATTAAAATGTAATAAGAAATGGTTAACATATAAATTCGTCATTGATATTCAGCATGTGTCAAAGTATTTGTTATTAATTGTCGTCGTAAAATAACAACTATCTATTCGTGTTTATTTTATTTATGTTATTACAAAGAGTGCATGAAATATTTTAAAAAACAATCTGCATCCGATTCAAAGAAACTTCTTATAAAAGTATTTACAAATAAAGAAAACCCTTGTTTAAGGCGCAACGTTCCAAGCTGGTATTAGAAACCAGTTTTGATTTTCTGCGTATTTAGAATCAATTTAATAAATCATATGCGCCATAATAAATAACTGTCCGTTTCAAAAACGGAATGCAAATTAAAAAGATATGTTTTTTTTTCTTTTTTAGTGCGTCAACATTCTTCAAGTTGCCAATGCAAATACTTTTTTTGCAAGTTACTTTTAGTATCGTTTGTAAGAATTACATATGAGCTATAGTACGTATATTTTAACACATAGCTAAAGGCGCTTTAAAGGTTACTTTTGACTGAGCCCTCTTTTACCTTAACACTTCTTTATTAATAAGTAAGCCATTTACGTTGTACCTAAAAGCCCTGTAAGTAAGACCTTACCGTGGGTTTCTGAATTCAAAATCACCGTTAAAAACTTACTGTTGTCTCCTATTTTGTAAATTATAATAACACAGGTAACAACATATATTTTTTGTTTTTTATATCATAAGATGGCAAACGAGAGAGCGGCAACCTGAAATCGTTGAAATAGCGAAGTGACCGTTAAAGCGGGCTCTACCAATGTTATGTTTTATAAAGAGGTTTTGGTCTCTGAAACCTACTTTAAAATATACCTTAATTTTTTTACTTAATTACTATAAACACTAGATTACTAAGTATAAACCATAAACGTTACGTAACCATTTTTTCTAACCTCGACTGTCACCTTTGCGGTAGTCACGAGACGCGACACGCGCCTGCCAAAATATGTCGTCTGATACTCTGATTGCATAACATATTGTTACATGCAGTTTATTTACGTTAACATGCATTTAAAATAAGTTGAAGTCGAATTAAACCTAACTAAGGTAGTGAAGCTGGAATAAATTACATAGAGCTGAAAATTGGTCTCATATTTCACAAATAATACTGTTCACAACATTCTTCATTTCAGCTCTATGAGAGTTTTTACACCATATATTGACTTTAATTGGCTCGATAGTAAAAGAAATTCATCAGCTCACTATACGTCCCCACCGAGGGGCTCGGAGCCTACCCTGAGTTAAGGGTAATTAGGCCATAGACAACCACGCTGGCGAAGTTCACATATATCTATCGGAAATAGAAAAACACATTGGTACAAGGCGGGATTCGAACCCAGGACCCGCAGATTGCAAGTCAAGTGCTTGACCCCTGAGCCACCGACGCTCTCTTAACCTAACACTTTAAGTCAAAAGGGCAATTTATGTTTACTCGCCTTTTAATAGCATTATTGCGATATTAAATACATAAATTATAAGAAGTTATCAATACGGAAAAACTAGAACAATTAAATCAAGAATAAATTGTAAACATACAATTAAAAAACTTTCTTTGTTTACAGACGTTGCTATTACTGCTGGGGACCAAATAGAATTCTATACTAACCAGACAAAGATAAGCAATGAAGGAGTTAGATTTCGAGAGTTAACCGCGCTAGCTTACGATGCGGTTCACAATATGTTGCTGTTTGTGGACACACAGAACGACAACGCGTCTATATTTAGTTATGATATAAATAAGAAAGAATATAAACCTTTAGTCAGAAGGAGATCGTATGAAAACATACAAGGATTAGCATTCGATCCTGTGACTAAGAAGCTGTTCTGGACGGATACTAATGAGAAAAGTATATACTGGAAGTCCTTGAAACCTGGCTCCAAGAATGATACGTACGGGAATCTGCTTATCAAAATGGATGATGAAGTACCCAGAGCAATTGCGGTGGACAGTTGCAGAGGGTAAGATTTAAATAGATTACTCACACTTACTGCATGATAGTCGAAAAATCTCCCTTTTTGATCCCAACTTGTCCCAATTTAGGGGTCAGATTAAATCAGCTATCTAATCAAGAGAAAATTATTACTAATTTATTTTTATTTTCAGATATATTTATTGGACCAACATAAATATAATAAAACCAACAATAGAAAGAGCTCGCTTAGACGGCTCAGAGAGAACAGTCATTCTAAATTCCACAAACATCTATAAAGTTGTTAGTATCGCTATAGATCAGAAAACGAAAAAACTTTACTGGATCGACGATAAAGAGGGAATACATTACTCTATCGAGAGCTCTGATTTGGATGGTAAAAACCAAAAGAAGTTATTAGCAGGGACGAATCATATGCCCAACACAATAACAGTATCAAAAGATTACCTCTACTGGGTTGATTTGGGTTACAGATCTGTATGGAAATTACCTAAAAACCCTTCACCTAATGAAGAACCAGAAGATATTATCAATTTCACGAATGTACCTCCGTTTGGGATCGTCGCTAACTATAAAATAACGGAACAAATCGGTGGGGTCGCGGAATGTGAGAAATTGTCTTCGATAGCTGAGAATAAGACAGTTATAAATGATATTTTCACTATACCAAGCGATGTCGGTCTGTTTTGTTTGCACGGAGTGAAGGTAGAGGGCGTTACTACATGCAAATGTTCGACGGGGTACATCGGGGAGCGATGCGAGATCTCAGTGTGCCACAACTTTTGTGTGCAAGGTGATTGCAGCGCCACTAATAATGGGGAACCTGTATGCAAGTATGTATTGCAGTCAATACATTAAGCACTAACAAACAAATGCCATTTTTGTCTACTCTTAAGAATATATGCTTTAATTTTGTTTCTATATTAGTTATTCCTAAAGTCCAAAACCGCTGATCTCACCAACGAGTCTCAAGACATCAGTCTATAGTAAAAAATCAGGAATAATGGTTACATACTTCTATTGCAGATGTAAATCTGGCTACACAGGCGCGCGATGCGATGTGAACATCTGTGAGGGACACTGTTTGAATTACGGTACATGTTCCATTGGTACAGACCAGAAGCCTACGTGTAAATGTCCCGTAGACTTTGAAGGGGATAGATGTGAGATTTTAAAACTTGTTCCTACAACTACAGTACCCAATGAACATTGCAAGTAAGTATTACTGTAGTCTTCCTGATTGTTTTTGATTCACTACTTTATTTTTTTTTAATTTAAAATACGTATTTATTTTTAGCTGTACCAAAGAAAATGACAGTGCGTTATTATCAACATCAGATTCTGCAAACAACGACGTTTATGTAGAGTCATATAACAGCTGGGATCCCGTCAGAGACCCTATCATCATGGCACTGGGCACGATGGCCGGGTTATTGTTCGTGGCTTGCGCAGTCCTTGTTATGAAAGTGTTGAGATTGAGAAAGAGGCCGAGGTATGTAGAAATTTGTTTAATACAATTGTAATCTAATATATTTTAAAATTTCTAGATAAAGAATACATTTATTTAGCAGTCATCACCAGCTCACTAGACGTCCCCACCGAGGGGCTCGGAGCCTACCCTTTGTTAGGTGTGACTAGGTGTGTCAACCACGCTGGCCCAGTGCGGGTTGGTTGACTTCACACATATCTTTGAATTTCTTCTCAGATATGTGCAGGTTGCATCACAATGTTTTCCTTCACCGTAAGAACGTTGTATAGATGTACATATGTGAAATCAGAAATCGAAAAATACATTGGTACATGGCGGGATTCGAACCCAGGACCTGCAGATTGCAGGTCAAGTGTTTGACGCCTGGACCACCGACACTCGTATTTACCAGTAAACAAGAAATATAAAAAGCAGGCAATGTACACATCAATCAAATGAACATTCCGGTTTTGGTAAATGTATTATAGAAGTCGACATTTACTCGTACACTAGATTTTTTTTATAGATTTACACTAGATTTATTCGTATCATTTATCAAAATCTTTACTTAGTTATTTGTGAATTAATGCATTTTATCTTTCAGAATCAAGAGACGCATCATTGTAAACAAGAACGTTACCCCGCTGACAGCCCGCCCTGACCAATGCGAGATCACTATCGAAAATTGTTGCAACATGAACATCTGCGAAACGGTAAGCACACAATCTTACAATGGGTTTTCACTGACGAAACCATTGTACTGTTAGGAAGAAATATCGACACTGCTGATGTATCAGCGCAACACTAGCCTTATTAAAATATCAATGTTTATATCCCCTCACTAATCGATCTACTACATATACACATTTTTTTCATATGTGTTTCGTCATTCGGCCTAAGCTTGTTTTATATTATTTTTATATATCTGAAAGTACATACATGGTTCGTGACAATAATATCATGTTCAATAAATAAGAAAATAGTCATAAGGTCATAGTAAAGAACAAATTAAATTAACATATACAATTATTTCTTTCTCCAAACTAAAGGAAAACTTGTACTACACAATGTAACTAAGATTTCCCACTAAATAAATACAATGTTAATACCTTCAATACAAACGTCTTAAACAGAAATATGATAATTTTATTGCAATTGTAAATCAAATAAATTCAAAAGTATTTATTAACAATTGCAAGGTCATTGACAACGAATAATTTGAAGGACAAGGTAAAAGATAATCATCTCGTTAACAATCAGTATTGTCGCGATACAAACGCGGGGCGTGCCGGCAGACAGACGTAATAAATGCAAAAACTAGCTATGGCCTACAACTGACACAATAGTCACGAAAGCGTTACACTATGTCAAGTCTACTATACAGTGCTAAAATAATACCTTCAATTAGAAAGCTACTGTGTCAGTTTGATCTCACTGAACGTATAGTTTGACTTTAAATTCAGATATGTCAACCGATAAAGATGTATGAAAGAGTAGTATACGATGTACAGTCAGGGCATTTCGCGGTTTCCACTTACAGAAATAGCCTTGTACTTTGCAAAGAGACAAACACCGCCCTCTGTTAACAATATTAACCATTAAGTAGCATTGTAGTAATAGGCAATTAGTCGCGCCAACGAGATTTCGTACAGAAAAATTTAAACGCTCTGTCCTGTTGGCTATTATGTCCTCGTTGTCGACTCAATACTTACGTAACGTTCAAACGACTGCCTTCGTAGGAAATTCATCTTCGTTTTACTAAATAATATAAGGTTCATTGTAATCCATCAGTTTCTTGTCATTATCCTATGCTCAGAGGCATGCGCCATGTTTTTTCCTCCAGTTCGATAGCATATGACCAGTTTATTTGCTTACCTTATAGCAATCAAAGTATGTTGTAGATAATAAAACTTGAACTTTAACTGGGGCCGTGACAAACTGATCGCGTGGTCTTTCATTATTATAATAATACGGTTCCATTGCCAGTTTATTAATAATAAATTATTACAAATTTATTATTGAAATGTAATAGTGACCTTCTTTTAAGCAAAGTATATATTTTTAATTAATTTGTAAAAAAATACAGACATTTTTTAAGAACTTTTTAAAATTTTGAATTTCGAAAGTTCAGATGAATGGATGTTTAATAGAAGGTATCTCTGGAACCGGTCAATGGATCTTAATGAAATTTGGCATATGTAGAACATTGTTTGGAAGAACACATAGGTTACTTATGATTTTTTTTATTCCGCGCAAACAGAGCCACAGTCTATAACTAGTTGATAAAAAATATAATGTATATTTGTTATATTTTTTACAGCCATGTTTCGAGCCACGAAACACAATACGACCAAATCTACTCAACGGTAAGCCTGGAAAAGAAGAGAAGAGAAACTTAATAGCCAACATGGAAAACGACGACCCATATTAATTTTCATATCAAAATTTAATTTGCTGAACTAATAAACGTTTTGGTATTATGTCCAAAGTTAAAACTATTGTGATATTTACTGTTAGGTGACGACAACTGTTTAGGATTATGTCTGACGCAAAATGGCTGTGGATTGAAATGTGTTTGAATATCAGAATTAAAAAGGTCGGGTAACATACGTTCGCGCCAAAGCTTTCCTTTAAAATACATAGACTTATAGGTTAAAGAATGGCTTTTGCTAAGATTTTCCACCAAAAAATTATCTATAGTTTAAAACGATGTCTTTGAAAGTAAATGTAAATTTGATATACATCGTTATGATTACCGTTTTAAAATTGGAATAATTTTACGGCACAACGTAATTTTGGTAAGAAATTACATAGGCCATTGACTTTAACACGTTAGCTGCCATTTCGGACTATATGTCCGACAAGCTAATGTTTCAATCAGGCCGTGTTGTCCGACTATTTGTCCGACAAGCCATACTTCCATTCAACACCTCGCTGTGGCTTTTTAATCGAATTGTTGTATACAGCGTGACCCGCAAGGCCCCGTAAAGCTTATAAACAGCGGGTCAATTTTTTTCGTTTTTTGAAAAATCATTCTGGCAGCTAACGTGTTAAAATACATTTAGTTTTGTTTACAATGTGAGGTTTTATTATAATACTTTGGGATGAGGTAAAAACAATATTACAGTTTGGTAAAAACCAAGTACTAAGGTATTAATAATTGTGAAGCCAAATTCGATGTGTATATCATACATACTAAATAACATGAGTAAATTGTTTAAAAAAAAATACAAAAATGTAAGTTTTTGAGCAACTTTTATAAATTTATCGCATCGAGTTAGGTTCAAACACACTGACATTTGCATTAATGTTACAAGTTAAAATATACCCAATTCTACTTCCGAAACGTCTTAACAAATATATTGTCATCTCTTTCATTTCCTTAAAAACAATTGAGACAGCAATATTTTTGTGTAGACGTCAGTGAAAACAGTAACTACAATCACAGTAATTCATTGTTACAATTAAACTCACACAGTGCCTTCGCGAGCTATCTTAATACCAATGTTAAATTTAGTATGTTTTATAAATATTAAATGTTGCCTCAATGGGTATAAGTATTGTGAATCAAAGTCCCCGTGAGTAATTTTATAGTAATATTTTTTAATACATGGCAACACCAATGCTTTTCTTTGACAGATAAAAAATAATTCTTCGTTTACTTCAAACTTAAAATTCTTATGTACAATAACTTTTCGTACTTTAAAATATCTTTGACATGTAATATATTTACTTAAGTGTTACTTGTCCTGTAGCGTCTGTACGGTTTTGTCTTTTCTTAAATAATAAGTTCTGTCAAAAATAACTTAGGTATGAACCAGATAAAGCATTTTCAAATATTTATTTGATTTGTCTGTTATCCTACAGTTTTAATATTATAATATGTATTTAAGCAACTGCCACCAGCTTTTCCTATGAGGAGCCTATTTAAAAGCATATCCATGTTTTTATTAAGTAGATTTAAGCAAACTGCAGAAGGTTTAAAAATCTTCAAATGGTTCCTTTATTGTGTTCAACTTTGCAAAAGTTTTTAGTTTCTTCCGTACAGCGTTGTTTTGAAATAATTGTTAACTAATTTTAATTTAATGAACTTAATGGGCTGTTAACTATACTTACCTTTTTGTACTTAAAATTATACAATTTTTAATATATGCGGCCAAGTAATTATCACGTCAGTAATACTTATGAAAAATTAAAATGTTTTTCTTATGTTAATATGGATTATTATTTTACCCGGTTAAAATATAGTAAAATAAATATTTCATACAAATTTAATTTTATAAATCATGTATAATGGCCCATTTTGTTTATTTTTCCATTTTGTGTGAAAGGTTGTTTTATTTCCGGTGACCAATTTTTTTTATCTTCTTTGTCCGTGTGGTTTGCGATTTCTTTCAGCTGTTCTATAGTTTTAGTTTTTACGTTCCTATATTCGTAGCGAGATACCTCAGTAACGGCGAAAGCTCTCGCGTTTGACAACTCAGTGTTGCCAGTACAATCTAATTTAAAAATTACCAATGGGTAGAGTTTTACCATTTTATCGTTTAGATTTTAACTTAATGACAATATTTTTATTTAAATAAACATGTACGTAAATATTGTTTTCTCTCGTTCTCAGAGAAAACAATACTTATGTTTCTATGAGTGTATCAGATTTGGGAGTTTAGAACTTACCTTTAAAATGTAACACTGAGTTGTCTATTGCGTTTTTTTTTTGTTTGACGCCAATGTAGAATCTCAAATGTCTACTATTAACTTATGATTCAAAATTATTTAAATGAGAAAAAAATTATTTATTTGATTATTAAATTATTCCAAATTAATTTTAACGAGTTTGTTGCCGTTTAAAAGAATACTTACCTACGAGGGGGCACTATGATAGGTTTCGACCACATAAATTGTCAGTACTTAGTAGTTAGTGAATTTAGTTCCTTAGATTAATTAGTGGATTGATAATATCCACATCAGAAATGTGATATTATGAGTCTTTGTATAAGCGATAGTTTAATTTTTATTAAAATAAAATGCTTTTTAAAAGATAATATTGTTTCATTGAAATAAAAACCATTTTTCGATACTACGTTTTATTAATACAATATCACAATGAAAGCTATGTTCCATAAATGTCTGCAGATACCGTATAGCTGTGGGTTTCCACTGTTGTGACACTTGTAGTGCAATATATTGCCAGCCCTAACATTGTCTTAAAATGCTGTAAACAAAGTAGGAGAGGTGAAGCGAGGATTTTGGGTTTGACTCAAGCGTGACTATTAAATATAGGTAGTAACTTGAATCCTAGCCGTAATTTTACGGCACCCGACCCGAATACTGAGTAAAAAAACAGGTTGTATAAATACTTAAGCGCGTCTAATTGATACAGGGAGCATTTTTAACAGTCGATTTTAGTGTTTGACTAACCATCCCTGAACGCGCGGCGATTTGGAGATTTCTGTGTGGCGAAAATACTTGATCATTTTTAACTGCCTCGCTCGAGTAAATCCCAAAATCCCCGCTTCGCCTCCCCTATTAAATGTACCAATACAAGTGTTACGACAGTCGAAACTTACAGTAACTTACAAATTCTACATTCTACGAATTCCACATTTGGTGACTAACCCCTCATACGCACGGGCGCTTTTTTATCGCGCGTTTAAAAAGCGTTCAAATAGAACAAAAGTTCCATGTATATTTATTCCAATTGCACGTTATAACGTGACGTTCTTATCTACACGCACGTGTTGCATTTTGAGCGCTGTGTGAACGAAATAAGAGTGATTTTCAAATGTTCGTCACTGGAGAACAACCAACGCAGTTTTAAGACGTTTAAAAAATCGCCCGTACGAAATAGGGCTTACGTACTTTACCTTCTAACACCGAAATATAAATATACCTATATTTTCACTAAGTATTATTGCTACATATATAATGCATGACCTTGAATTTTCCCTGCTTAAAACATTATCATCCTTTGACTAAATTAAAATGTTTCGTAACTGTTGTTTCGGCAGTGGAAATACACAATAAACTTTAGATGTAATCAAAAATGTGATATTACTTAGGTAATATTACCAACATTTATCACAAACATCTGTGCGTTGCCAGAATTTTAAATAAATAAAACGTAACTACAACAATCATAGTAACTATAAAATAATTTTAACAATAAAACTATTTTTATAGATTGTACTCATACATACAACATATCTTAGAATTAAATTATAGAATGTTTAAACGTGAGTTTCTGAGACCAAAATCCCCGTAAAATATATTATCTCTGTTTTTGTAAAACATTTTGGTGTCAGAAACCCACTGTAAGTGAGATTTTTTTTATAATTTAACGAAATATTAAGAAAATCACCTCTTTTTTTACAACGTTAGTTAATTATTTAAAAATTAACGACCATATATAGTGAAAAAATCTTATATTCTATTCTACATATCTCACTAAAGCTTGAAATTATGTTAAAAAACTTCAACTTTTAATACCAAAGCTTCAAATATTCAAAATACGTAATGTAAATTTATTAAATAGAAAAAGTCTAAATTCTAAAATTAGAGACAGATTTTTCAAATACGAATTTGGACAAAGATTATGTCTACTAGAATATAGACGAGCTAGAATTATATAAAAGTTTACGAATAAGGCATACGTAACATGAACTAGTGGTAAGGCGATAGAAAAATTAAAATCTTTAAGATTTCAATTGTCTTTTCTAATAATAGAAACGAGTCGTTTCTTAATTAATCCTTCTTCTTCTATATGTCTAAATACTGCAGCAAAATCTTGTCCGTTCTATGACTGTCTTGTCATCCCTTGCCATTTTCTATACCTACAGTACGACTAACTTGCAGGGCTAAAGTACATTCTGAAGGGATTCCATACCGAATTTCAAAATTGTACAGAACTGACGCGCGACAATTGCGTGACTTATCGAAACTTATTGTCAGTTTGAAGCGAATGCACTTTGTCTAGTCCACTGATCTCTATAAATCGACAGTATATTGCTTGGAAATGATAGCTTTTGCTTCGTTCCGATTTAAAAGCGTCTGTTGATGTTAAGTGACAGTTAATTCTATATGTATTAATACTTCGAATCAACACGAGCGATACAAAGCGCTAACATCAGCGCCATGATCAATCAAATAGCCACAAAGAAGTACATCTTATAGCCAATCCTTTTATAGAGGTCATAGTGGTCCAGTTCTGAGCCGGTAAAGGGCGCTGCTATCGTAGGCATAGAAAGTGACAAAAAAAACGTGACAAGACAACCAATGTATAATCAAACAAGATTATCTTTCCCAGTGACAAGGTTAGTACTATCACAAAATATATAAAACTTAAGCACCACAAACGCCCTTTTATATCTCACTATGCCTTACGCCCTAGCGCCCAGGGCGGTCGCCCCACAACGACTTACTACACTACTGCAGATAAAGTCAAGGAGACGTCTCACTATGTCTAATGTCATTTCATTTATATGGAAAGTGTTGCCAGTTTTTATTTCATTATTTCTGCATTCAAACTATAGTTGCCATATTAAAATTACAAAATTGTTACTAAATCAACTGAGGTGAATATTTAATACTGACTTATAATTACAGATTCCCTGTCTTCTATTCATCATCATCAGCTCACTGTACGTCACCACCGAGGGGCTCAGAGCCTACCCTAAGTTAAGGGTGATGTGTTCTATTAATTATACTAAATTAGTAACTGAAAATAAATTACGTATTTAAATGCTAAAAATAAACAAAAACAAAATATACATATAGTATTTGAGATTTAAAAAAATTATACTAAAAAGGTCTGGTAAATAATTTTGTGATGACTTACATTTTTACGTGTACTACATATTGCCATCTCTTTCACACCTATTGATATAAAAGAGACAACATGTTTACAATTGGTATCACGGTTAAAAAGTACCTATATAAGTAGTATGAAAATAATAATTTCTAGCTAGAATAAGCATATTTTTCTTTTTAAATGTTTGTTATTAATATGTTTGATTAATATGTAGGTTGAAGCGGCCGAATAGAAATTAAATACATAATGTATTACTTCGTTATATCTGTAACAAACAAAGCATATTAATACAATATTTGTATGGAATTAGGTTAGGTTAAATTGCAGTCTAAAGTATATTGTAGGGATTAACCGTAGGTTTCTGAGACCAAAACTTCTGTGTAACACATATCGTCGTCCCTGTTCATTATTTTTGACAAAACAGAGATAGCAATATTTTAAACAGAGATTTTTATAATGCAGTTATAAACTAAAAAAAAGGCTAAACTTAAGTAAACTTCATTGAGTACCGGCACCAACTAATTTAATGCCCACCGAGGGCCCTTCTTTTTTTATAAGGTGGTAATCGAGTAAGAGACCATCTCAATTCGCCAGAATGGCGAAGCGGCCGCTCTCCATCGACATCAACTATTGCAGATGCCTTGCCTACTTTTAATCGATGTAAGAGGAGACGCACAGAAGGAGAATATTAGGGTGATGGGGTGAGACTGACCATTGTTGAGTATGGCGGCGACCTCTAGCAGGGTGTCGCGGTGCGCGCGCATGTACGCGTGCGCCTCCCACAGCATGGTGACGAGGCGGTCGTCCGCGCGCTCGTCCATGGCCACGTCTGCGGACATGCGCGGCGAGAACCTGTAGTACGGCACGCCGCTGCACGCGCACCACGCCCGCGCGCGCTCCACCACGCGCCCGTCGCACTGCGTCGCCTGCACATCCACACGCACACCTACCTTACTGCACCATCACTGACCTCATCATCGGCTCGTCCCACCAACATCTTCCACCAGGAAGCTCGGAGTCTCATATCTTTGAATGTCTTCTCAAATATATGAAGGTTGCATCATGATGTTTTTCTTCACAGTTTGTTTTATATCTATACCAAATTTCATTACGATATTTTTAACCTTTTTGGAGATAACCATCTAACAAACATCCATCCATACAAATTTTATCATTTATAATATTAGTAAGATGTATGGACCTGGTCTACAAGCAGATTCCCGATGGCGGTGAGTCCCCAGGCGAGACGCGCCGTGTCCCACAGACTCTCCGGCTTGAACACATCGTAGTCCTTTATC